CTTCTTTCAATGTTATCCTTCAAAATAAAAGATTTTTTTTTTAGTCCAATTTCAGAGATCACAACAAAAAAAATTTTTTTTCATGTTGCATCAGCAGATTTGTCCTATATATTGTTATTCAGTTCACCATCCACTAGATGGCGCTGTTACTCTTCTTTCGTATAGGCTTTTTTTTTTGCGCTCTTCAATCATCCGATATTTTCTCTCAAGTATTCCAAAGTATTTCTCTCTCCTTCTTCGCTGTTATCACTGATTTATCTGGCTCCAATTTCTGTTTATTGTCCAAATCGCTCCAAGAGTCCTCTCCTCCTCTGCTTATTCCATTCCGTTCTCAAGTCACTCCAAGTCTTCTATTGCTACAGGAAATCACGTGCTTTCAGCCCTCCTTATAGCTGCCAATATTGAGCTGTATCCAGCTCACTTCAAAGCTTTGAAATTCTACTCAAAGAGTCTTTAGTAGAATTTACACCATTTTAGTTTAGTTGTTTTACTTATTCTCACCGATGTTGCTGTGTTGCTATCTTATCTCCCTCATGTGCGGCCGTCACCACCAAGCTCGGCCATGAATGCTGATTTCTTCTTTGGTGATTTCAATGGGTTTTCCCTTGTCCAATAGGGAAGTTGCTTGCTTCCTCCTTCGGCGCCCAGGCTCCCCCTCTCTCCTGTTGATCCCTCCAGGTTGAACTCATCCTTTTCCAGGATCTTCACCACAGAAACTCGAGCAAAGCTAGCGGAGTTCCTATTCCTTTGCCCACATGGAAGTGACGTCACCGCAGGAAGTCCAGAGAGTTTCACTTTCAATTTGGCCTCCCAATTATCAGCTGTTACAGGCTGCAGGGATTGCAGCTCTGCAAGCCCCATTTTCTCAGTTTCTTGCAAAGAGATAAATTGCTGGGTGGGGGCCCAGTGGGTGGGTGGGGCTACATTCTGCATATAAGACACACCTAAATTTTCACCCTCTTTTAGGGGGGGAAGTGTGTCTTATACTCTGAAAAATATGGTAGGTCAACTTAGGGAAGTGGTTAATGTAGGAAGATGGTAACTATGGAGGTTTTACTATATATATATTAAAAACATGGGAAGAGTCAGACTAATAAGATAGCACATCAGAGAATGAGTGCACCAAGTATTTCGCTACATCAGCTGCCCTTTTGAAGTGCTTATATACCTCATTCATTCTAGAAAGCAAATATGACCACAGCTTGAAAAGAAAATATAGCTAATAAAAGATAATGGCATGAAATGTAAGTTCATAGAACACCCTTTTTCCTCAATTTTAATCATTCCAACCATTTCAGCATTTTAAGAACACAAAATATCACAAAGCCTCTACTTTTGGATGCCTATATAAAACCCATTGCCTCTATGGAGAGTACAACATTTCTGAAGACAGTATTTGTCAGATCCACCAGCTTCGGCTTGGTGCCTTGCCAGTGTTCTGCTATCAATTGGAGAGGAGAGGGGGAAACAAATGGGAAATAAAGATGTATAGGATGGGAAATTGGGAGGGGGACACTGGTAGCTGAGGAAGAACAGAGCACTTTAGAATCCTATTCATGTAGGGGGAGGGTAAAGGGGAACCAAGGTTTTAGTTCTGTATTGGTGTGCAGTAATTTTAGATTCCGCTTGATGGTACTGCATCCAGTATCTCTTAGTAAAAATAACTTTTCACTTCAATCACATGGAGTTGAGAGTTTTACTTCCCTAGGGGATCAGACTGGGGCAGGTCTGACATTATTGCATATTTTCTGCAATTCTTTTTTTTTTTTTTCAAAAAGGGCTTCCAAACTTTGTGGAAACCTTTATAACCTAGCAGTCCTAACACTAACATAAAGCCATAGACTGCACATTCTTGACAAGATAGGAACAGGACTATAATTTGGGGGGGGGGAACCAAATTTATGTTTATTTGCATTTAATATGACAAGTTAGCAATACACTGTACTCTTTTTGGAACACTTACTATCAGTCCTTCAATCAGTGAAAATACTACATACTGGTACTATAAATACCCTAACAGTTCCATTCAGAATAATCACACGCCAACTGAATTTAGTTTCTGGTTAATCTGCAAATTCAGATGTGAGTTCTTCCAACATTTTAATCTAAGATGAGCAAATGTTCCAAATTGCAAACTGGAGCAACTTGTATATACATGTACACATTTTAGACCAAAAATTTGTTTCTTTAAAAAAAAAAACATAATAGGAAGGAGATAAATAAATAGTTCAACATTCATGATAGGTATTTCTGCTGTAATACTTACTGTAACATCCTGAAACTGAAGCCGCATGGTAGAACCTGCTGCTTGTGGACAGTTTGTGACCTCCAAGATGGTTCTGAGTAATACATCTAGTAGACTGTTCACAATTACATCTATTTCTTCCAATACTGACTTGTCCTTTCATTTTTTGAAAAAGAAAAACAAGACCATACACTTTGGTGTACTGAAAAATAAATCTAATAATCTCATTTTGTTGTAAATGTGAAGAATTAGATACTGCAAGCTGGATGTGCCAATTTAGAAGATATTTATTTAAACATTTGCTATGCAAATACTTTCATGGAGAAAAACTACATGATTGCCAGGAGTCAAAATCAATTGGATAATCAATCAATCAATGTATGGGTGGTATAACTGGTTCCAAAATATTTAGAGACTTTTGTTTCTTGGGAAAAAACACTAAACATTGTTTGGTAATTATTTGGCAGTCAGTGAGTTGCCTCAATAGACTGAGGCTACCTAATACCAAAGACTAGATACTGCATTTTGTGCTAGCATTAGCTTCTGAGCCAAACAAAAGAGTACTTCCACATAAACTATGTTACAGTAACAAAAGCAGATTGAAATTTAATAGAGAACTATGTAAAGTTCTTTACTTATTAAAAAAAATCAGATTCTCAGGAATGGATGGGAAGTAAACAGTTTGGTAAAAATATGTTTGAAAAAGATATTGTACTGCAATTGATCAAAAAATAAATGTAATAAGACATAGTGGCTATAAAAGTGAAAATGTTAATAGGTTACATGCAAGGCAAATATATTTTCAAATTATCAAAAATAATCTTCATAATACTTGATATTGGTCAGACTTCACTTCAAATAGTCTGTTATCATGTTTTAGGACTATTAATTTTACTAAAAGGCATTTAAGTTTTTTTGAACTTCTCACTTCATCAGACACCTCTGATAATATGCCCAGTATTATGAAGTGAGCTGGTCAGTTGATGAACTGAAGCTGAAGCAAACTGATAAATATGTTTTAAATTAATAATTTATTCCCCCTCTTTCAAAAATATTAAGCATTTTTAATATTTCTGAACCATAATATCTTTTGGAAAAATCAATACTATTTTATTTTTTTCTAACAGTTGATGAGATATCTAAGTGAGTATTGACTATCAAAAGTATAACTTTTTAATAAAATAACATTTCTACAAGTACTGTTCATGCACAGATACATTATAAATAACAATGAAACATACTAAAGGAGCATCTTAATAATAAACCAGTCTTACTTCTCTTTGAAATAGACTTCTTACCAATTAAAAGCCCATTTTCTGTAATGTTCCTTCTACTTACAGAACTATTTTTCTTAACGAAGGAAAATATGTTGCTAAGGATATGCGCACACATGATCAGATCCTTTTGCTCTTGCAGGTGCATATAAAGGTGATGTAGAACTACTGGTAGCAAAACATACCGAGACTCTGGAAGACAAAATATTTACTATGGATGCTGTCTTTCTATGATCCAGTCTTTTCAATGATTAAAGATACAAACTGATCTATCAAAGGACTATATTTAGTTTTGACATATAGGTAGTCCTTGACTTACAACCACAACTGGGATCAGAATTTCAATTGTTAAGCAAGACGGTTGGTTGTTAAGTGAATTGCACCAAATTTTACAACCTTTTTTGCTACAGTTGTTTAGCAAATTACTGCAGTTGGTAAGTGAATCATTAGGTCGTTAAGCAAACACAGCTGCTCCCATTGACTTTTTTTGTAAACTGAAAAGAAAAAAAGCATTAATATTAACCCTTCACTAATTTTAATTTCACTAACATAGATAAAACACTATTCTATTTTGGTAAATTCCACCTTAATGTTTTCCTTTTTAATGTACTATTTAAGTATAAATATTTTAATAATGAGAATATTGCCTGTATGAGTACATTCTTCATGTGGCTACAAGAGAAATTTGACTATTGTTTATTGTCTTTGGGCTTTACTATGGAATATGCTCAGAACCTTCAAAAAAGGTACATTTAAAAACATTAAAAACATTTATAAACATTTGATTTTGAGTATGTAATAAATCCAGTCTAGCTAATGAAGGGCCATAAATCAATTTTGGCAGCAGGGCAAAGTTAACTTGGTGTTGTGCCACAGAACATCAAATACTCTATGTGTCTTTACACTTCTGGTAAAGAAAACCCCAAAACATGTTACCCTCCCTTTCAATCTTATAAAAGTCTGACTAGCTGATAAACAGTTTTAGAACAGAAAGATATTTTCCTTCAAAGCTTTTTGATCAGTTTACAGATGTACTCATCCACATGTGTGCATACATATTGCTTCTACATTTATGTTTCTGCCCTCTGTATTGAGTCTGCATCTCTGAGATGAGCACTGGGAGGCTGCATATGTTCCATTTGAGGTTTTATGAACAGAAAGGAGCAAAGCAGCTCAGAGGTTGGCAGCATTCTGCAATTTGGTCCATTAGGGCTGCCCAGAAAAATAATCCTGTAATTTTTTTATCCATAGTACCTGGCCAAACTTGACCCTTTTTTTGTCCTGGCTTCTCCCACCATACCAAATTTGGTTCCTTTCTATTTGGAGAATTATCTTTCTGACAGACAGCTAGGAAGACAGAGCCTCAAGTCCATTTATCTGCCTGTCTATCCGTCCGTCCATCCATCCATTCATCCATTGATCGATCGATCGATCCATCCATCCATCCATCCATCCATCCATCCTCCATCCATCCATCCATCATATTTATATAGCTGCCATCTAACATGTAAGATGGCAATTCTGGGCAACATACAACACGTATATAATTGGACTGCTGGACTTCTGGTCCTGCAAAAAATGATTCAAGGGTTTCATGCAGATTCACCATACCTATTTTAGTGTAAAATCCAAATGTGATTAAATTTTATCTGCTTTATATACAATCAACATGTGTCAGGAGCTATTTAAATATTAGTTAATTAGCAATGGAATTTGCTTTTCTACCTGGATTGGTGTACAATTGGCTTTCCACTGTTTTTCCAATGCACTGAAGTTTCACTGCTTGAAGAGATTCATCCGCATTTGTAATGATAGGCAAACTCCCTAGAGTATCACACACCAAATTTGCTACTTCTCTCACATCAAAGAGCTTTAACAATTCTGAATATATAGCTGGGAAGGAACTGAGAAAGATTGCCTGGGAATAAACACATAAAAAATTAAGTATATTACAAATGTTCAAACAGACAGAAAAAGAAATTTAAACTTTATTTGGATTTAATTTTAAAAATGATATTTTTTCTAATTTCCAAGAAAACCAGATATTTGGAATTTGTTCTTAATAGTTTTAATTTGTTCCAAGGGGAAAAAGAATATAAATAATATTATTATGAGTTAATTTGCAGTTCTAAATGAATATGAGAAATTCAAGAACTATGGTGAAAATAGAGAAGGATTAGAATTAAAAAACAAAACAAAAACTAGCAACTGCAAAAGCTGCATCTGAATCATGGAAGACAACTGGAAACAAAACAATTCTATAGCTTGTTAATTTACCCAAAAGCTTCATATAAAAAGACAGTACTATCAGATGTTTGATCCAACTTTTGTTACCAATATGTGAATGAAATGAATTCACTGTAGCTGAAAATAGATCAGAAGCATTAATGTGTCACATTTAAACACTACTACATTTTTATATATCAGTTACCATGCACAGAAGCAATGTGAAAAACAGAAGTAACTGTATAAAGCAATATTTTTGCAGAACTTACTTGGGCCTGAGATAAAGCATTGGTTCCTTTAGTTTCTTGGGAAAGGAAGAATCGTATTGACATCAAAAGCTCTTGAATACAACAGCAGAATTCTTCCTCATTTTGTCCACCAGTAGCAAGAGAGAATAGTTTCCGAGACTGAACTATATATTTAAATATATATTCTTGAGCCTATAAAATAAAAATGTGTGATTTTATATCATTCCTTCTTATAAATAATAAACATTTTTCTAACAGCACTAGTTAGATAGCATATAGCCTAACATAGAAAATGAATAGCTCATATCACAAAAGAGCAACTTTCCATATTCATTCTTTGCTAAATTCATTGATTTTTTAAAATGTCCAGTCTTTCTAAATTAAGCGGAATTGAAAACCAGTGTCAGCCTGGTCATCTTTTCTTTATTTCAAGCTTGCTGCCAGCTGCCATGGAAATGATAAGGGGGTAAACAATGGGTATTTGGGAGTTGGGAAACATGCAGGAGGTGAAACTGCAATTTCTGAGAAGCGATGGGGAGGTTGGCTTGAGTTATTTAACATCTTCAAGGCCCACCATCCTGGGATCAGCCCGCATGAAGGAGGAGCAATGCACCTGGACCAAAGAACATCTTCCTGGGTGGTTATTGAATTTTGGGTTGCCTGATTACTGACGGGTTAGCTCTGGGGTTAGTTTTAATTTGTTTCTTTGCTTCGGATGTTGCCTGACTTTTGCTACAATCAGTTCTTTCCTAGTAAGAGTGCCTTTTATTTGAATCAATGGAGTCAAGGGTTTTTTTCCCCCTAGGACTGATCGGAGGCAGCCCTAACATTAGGCAAAGTCTGCTTTAATGGTCAACCTGGAGACTGCAGTCTACAGTGGGGACCAAGCATCTAAATGTCCAGCCACGAGAGGAAACTGGAAGAGACCAGAGCTCTTGTCAGATCCCCTCCCAGACTGTGTCACATCTGAGATGAAGCTGAATGACTGGAGAAGCTAAACCAGTGGTTCCCAATGTGGGGCCCATGCCCCACAGGGGGACAATTTGATTTTTCATGGGGGCAATTCAAAAATGAGCTATTATCTTAATTTTTGAAAGCCTGTTAATTGTTCTTATACATTTGTGAGGAAACAGTTGTGTTTCATTTACCTATTGTTGTCTTTGTTAAAGTACATTTCCTAGGGCCTGGTCTGAAAAGGATATCCCAGCTTGGGGCGGGGGGGACAACTGCCAGCCAATCAGATGTGTTCCGACTAAGGATTTTTTAGACTAAGCACCTAATGCCCTGCTGGAGCCCATCTTAATTGGAGGAGAGCAGCATTTTGAAATTAAGGAGATTCTAGATTCTAGGAAACATAAAGGGAAAGTCTAATACCTAGTTGCATGGAAACATTTCCTTCCTTGTAGTCTGGGTGGGTAGATGCTAAACATGTCTGGGCACCTAAACTCCTTCAAACCTTTCACAGAAAATACCCTTACAACCTCCAGATGGAGTAGTGGTTTTACTTGGTTCATATTGCTTTACCTATGCATATGTGGTTTACTTGTTTTAAGGCTAACACCTCTGTTAACAGAGGCCTGAATGTCAGCCTGGTCATCTTCGCTTTCCTTCAAGCATTCTGCAGGCTGCCATGGAAACAATGGGGAGGGGGGGGAAACAATGGGTATTTGGGAAGGGAAGCATGCAGAAGGTGAACCTTGAATTTTTGAGAAGTGATGGGGAGGCTTTGACTCAGCTTGTGTTGTTTAATCTTTAAGGCCAACCTCCTGGGATTGGCATGGACAAGAAGGAGCAATGCACCTGAACCCAAAAATTCTTCCTGGACAATGATTGAATTCTGGTTGCCTGGCTACTGGGGGGAGGGGCTCGGGAATCCCTGACAGCCAGTTTGTATCACTAAGATTTATTTTTATTTCAGTCACTTTATTACATCAGGTCATATAACCAATTGCATTCGTTCCAGTATGAAACCATTTGCAACATCATCCAAAATATGATATTTTAATACAGAAAAATATCTCATAGTTGGAGATCTTTCATGCAAACTGAGCTTTCACAATTAATAAAATAATCTTCAATATGCCAATTTCCCAAAGTGATCTCAAGCTAATAAAAAATATTTGTCAGAATACAAATATTTTTAATACAAATCTAAACCCTAAACAAATCTAAACAAATATATATTTAAATTGTGTCTTACACATGGGCTAGTCAACTGATGTTATCTATCTTACATCACAAGTGCAAACTACTTTCACAATAATTTCCATATGCTGCTATCAGAGAGATATTAATCAAAAGTTTTGCTTTTAGTTATTTGATATCTTTATAGTTATATAATAGACTATGATAAATCAGAGGAAAATATTTACTAGTTTCCTAACGTGTGAAAAAGTTTCCCCCCCCTTGCCATCACTATAACTTAAGCAGTAAATGCTCCATACTACAGGGGTTATCTATTCTCTTCTATTTGCACTTCCTTTTCTATCCAATTCTAATATCAGTACAATTATCTACGTGAATATGATTTTGTTCTTCTTTGTTTTGTTCTTTACACTGTCACCTACTAAACAGAACCAATCCATTTTGTGCCCATATTAAGTATCTATCATGCACCCATACAGTTCTTTCCATACTAACAATCGTTCACTCCCACAAGTTTCAGGGTGAATAAATGGGATGATAGGTTTGAGAAAAAATAATCTTGCACAGGAAAATGCAATTGACTCTACTCCAGATACAAGCTATGAAAACTTCATTTGTTATGAATTAGCATTTTTATATTTATATAGAAACAATATTAACAATCATATTAAATCAGCTTTTTCAACCTGCTTCTAGTCAGATGTGTCAGATAAATGGAGCCACCCTAACTGGAAATTACAGGAACTGTAATCTAATAAAAGCCTCTGACTAGAAGCAGGTTAGAAAAAGCTAGCTGAGATTACACCATTTGTTTCAGTTTTATTACCTTTAATACTTCCTGATTGTGTGCTTGCCTTTCTGCTTCAGTAAATCGGTCAACATGCCACTTCAATACCTTTATGAGATCTCTAAAATATAAAACAAAACTTAGTTCTACATTGAAGTCTTAATTCATTGTTAAGTAGACTAATAACTGACATGAATAATAATTCATAATTTAATCAATACATATATCTACTGAAATTTAAGCCTCAATAAGCTATTCCTAGGGAAGTGAGAAATGCCGAATTATGAATATAGATAATAGGACATTATTATTGACATACATATTAACAAATATAATAAAGTTTGGTTGCTTTTAAGATACTAATATACCTTGTTTTCTAGGTGGGAAGGAAAGTGAATTAACCAACTTCATTGTAGTATGTGCAAGGTCACTGAATTCCTCTAAATAATGAGACACCACCACCGAATGAAATTTTGTCTGGGTTTGACATGATTCATAAACATCTTTTGGGCTTTCATCTCCAAATCTTAGAAATTCAAACATCCTCGATAATTTGCTCTCATAGTCTGGATAGGACATGATTCTCCTCACTCAGTATTTTCAGTAATATAATGTAATGTAGTGTAGTGTAGTGTAGTGTAGTGTAGTGTAGTGTAGTGTAGTGTAGTGTAGTGTAGTGTAGTGTAGTGTAGTGTAGTGTA